ATTCATCTGAAGATAAGGCTTTTGTTTCTGCCACCAATGCTTCTGTCACTACAGTAATGACAAATCACCCAGGGTATTATTTTCCAAAAGATATTTATATTTATATTGTCCTACAGATCTTAAGACTAGTCCCTCCCTCAAGTGCCTTTGGTCAGTTGCATCCTTTTGTTTTAATCATTCTTGCTTTCTTTGCAAGATGATAATTTTACATGGCTTGGAGCAACAGTTGCAGGAGATACATAACACACTCCTAAGATTGTAAGATGTAAAGGGCATAACTGACCAGGGTTTAAAGTTGTATCTGTGCTGATTGTATGGAGCTTCCTGCTGTGTAAGAAACTCCTCATGTCCAGGCTGCTGGGCATCGGGGTTAGCTGAGCCGAGGCCACAAGCCTCCACCATACTCACCAAAACGCCAGCAATTTGTCCAAGCCCAGGGGGGCTCTGTCTTACATTACACTCCAGGATTAACAATCCTACTACACAGCATAGCAGGACTCATATCCCAGAGCACAGATAGGACCCATACACCCGTACACATGCAGGGAACATCATGTTTTACGCATCCAGGTTCTGAGCACAAGCTCCCAGCTCCTACTCCCTGCCTCCCACCACCAATATCCCCGAGATTATCCCCAGGGTATCAGTGACCAAATGCACTGGTTTGGACTTGAAAGTTTCTTTTGTTTTTAATCTTGCTGAGTCTCTAAAACTAGCGCACGGAACAAGCTGCCTGTTTCCAAGCAGCTGTTGTGTAACTTTGCTCCCCACCCCCAGAGATGTTGCCTGCCATTCATTTAATGGGCTCGGTTTCACTGGGAAGTGCCCGGGGGAACCTCTTAGGTCCCTAATTAGCAACAGAAGGGTCTAGTCCTTGCTGGAGGTAGCAGCGAAACATTTGTGAGGTCTTCTGAGAATAAGGGAGGCAGAGAAGGGGCCATTTTCAGCTGGGAAAACACTTCTATTCAACTTAGAGTGCAGACCAGAGGACTATAGAGAAGGTGATGGGGGAAAAGTAATTGCATGGGCTTTCTAGGCAAGAAAGAAGTATTTGTAAAGGGGCAGGAAGGGATGGGAGAAATTGTCCCTTGACCTTCCAAGTTGTTCATTGCTCCTGCAATATGAGTTTTATATAAGATACTGTGGAGCAGCACAGCAGCGTCGTGGGCTAGCCGCCGGTGGAGGCAGGAGCAAAGTGTTGCTGTGATCTGCTCTCAGATGTTTGAGCTGCCTCTTGTTAATAAGATTCAGGAATTAACAGCTTGGAAGTGCTTACAAGCTCAGTGTTTCCTCCAGGGACATGATCACAGAGGCTGAGCATAGACCCTGCCATTCAGAGCTTGAGTAGACTTTGGTGCAAAACAAATCTCTTGCCAAACAGCTGAATGTCCTGAGACTTCACTGGGAAGGTGAATACTTTGTTCATCCATTGCAGGCAGGGTGATGTGTTTGGGGCTATTCCTTAACCCCTGGGACACAGCCACACGTGGTAAGGTCTCCTGATTTTTCCTATGTGATCCCATTTCTGGGCAGGGCTTTTTTCATACAATACCAATTGAGAAGAGTTGCACGTGCATGGACAGTCCCAGCTTGGGCCTGTTGGACCCTGGGACCATTCACCTTCAGAAATCATGCAAGGAAATAACAGCATTCGATATCTTTAGCCTGTGGGAGCAAAGATCCAGTGAAGCAAAGGAAGGCCTTATTAGCATTAGGGACCTTCCTTAAAAGCAAATGAAGAAGGTGAAGTTCAAAGACAGAGTGATACCATGGGTCAAACAGGGTTGCAGGACCCTGGAGGAGCACAGGGGAGATCTGAATCTCCCAGCTTGCCCTGCCCTGCAACATCACTGGCCAGCTCACTGATAGTGGCCACTGACCAGATAAAAAGGAGATAACTGGTCCCTGGTATAAGTCAGGAGACCATGTTAATAAAGATCCCCTGTTACTGAGCACCATTTGCTCTCTAGTAATATTTTTAAGACGGTGAACCTGATTTTGTGCAAGCAAAAGGAAAATTATGCAGCAAAGAGTTCACGCTGAAGATGAACGGCAGCGCGTTACAGCTGGGGCCATAAATCCCAGCAAGGGCCTTGCAATGGCTCTAAAGGTCAGAATAATCATTTCCAAGTTGCCACAGCTTCTCAGACTATAAAAGAGCTATGTTCAAAGCTTTTGTGCTTCATTCTTAGCCCTATTCATTAGCTCATTTCATAACCAGAAGTCACCAGCTTTCCTCCTCATGTCTCACGTTTCAGGACTAATAGTATTTATGAGGCTTGGATTATGATTATATGCAATTGGCAATGAGAAAAAGAGAAAGTCCAAAATAGAAAGGAAAAAAAAAAAAGACCAAATAGGAAAAAAATTATTACGTGCACTCTGAGCTCGTCTTTCCCACTAGAGGGCACACAGAATTCGCAGAACTGCTACTTGGCCTTGGGGTGCTTTCTCCAGCAGCAGGTCACTCTATGCCAGCATTAGGCCTGGGAGAGCTGGCAGGTTATGTTATGTTTGGCTCCTCCTGCTTGTATGCAGCTGCTAAACCAGCTGAAAAAATACATTACAGTAACATTTCCATGTGCACATTTTCTATTGCTGCTGCAGGGGTGATCCTCCAGATCAGTGAAAAGAGCAAGAGAAAAACATAGGGAACAAAGCTCTCTGTTAGTATGTGATTTGTGCAACGGAAACATATTAAATCCCTTTATAAAATTATGCCATTTGTAGAGGGACCGCAGGATGGCAGCAACTGGAAGTTTAGACAGAGATGCAACTATTTAGATACAGTATATCAAGTGTTATTCTCTCTCTTTTTTTCTTTCTTAACTCATGCCAGAATAGCAACTGAACCAGCAAAATCACAGCACAGGGACACAGGCAGAAAACTTTGTACTAGTGCTCTGAGGAAGCTTTTTAAACACGATTTTCTAAGACATCTGTCATTAAGGGTATAGGATCCTGCCCCAGTGCAGGAAGATGCTCTGAGACACTTTCGCAGCTCCGTTACTGTGGGATTCCCCTTTCCATTTATGGGACGTGCATCAAAATCTCGTGGGAGGCAGCCTTGTTGACTCCAGCAAGCAGTTTCTGCCTGGGTTTGTTGTGCATTTTGGCCACTAGAGGTTGTGACAGTGAAAAAACTTCTTTTCCACAGACAAGCTACTGCAGCACCCCTAGTCGGAATTTCCTCTGGGACACTTTGATCTCTGCCCACCAGCACTCCGACAAAACTCCTGCACATACCCTGCTTTTCAGTAGATGGGATCCTGGCATCTCAGCTCTTTCAGATTTATCAGTGGGTTTTTGTTCCCTTTTAGCCCCAGGGTCTTAATGGCCTTGGTGTGTCCCCTTATATCTTAAGCAAATGCTGTTCTGATTCTCCCAAATCTTTTAGACAGAGAGCAGCAACTTGTATCTTTTTTTCTGCAGCCTTAACTAGCTCTGCTGACTCTCTTTCCACATTCCTGGTATAGATAATTTCACTCTCAGATGTTCAAGCCAGACCTTTCTCTGCCAGCCTTCATGTTTTTTTCCCAGTGCTAGGTAAGAAATAGAATATTCCCAAGGTCTCTTTTGTCTCCTGGTGACATCACAGCCTGACACCTTACAGGGGTCCTCAGCTACCTTCCACATGGGTTGTAATTCTTTCTTCTTATTGCTAATAATTCTCCAGACTTCTGACTATAGTCCCTCTGCAATCAGGGATACCATCTTTGAAGACGCCTCAAGAGACCTGATTTTGTTTGGGAAATGGGACCTTAAAACTAAATAATCCCAGATGGATATAATCAGAAATAGATATGGTGGAGCAACAAATTGAACTTCAACCAAATGAAGGATTTACAAGCTTTTCTTCCTGATGGATCTTTTTGATGGCACAGTGGTTGCATATGAACTCACAGCAGTATGAGACCTAGTCACCACAGATCTCACTGGTGATGCTACTTCACTTTGAGCATTATGTGGAGATAGGAATCATTCCCTCTGACAGTAAAACCTCGCTATTCCTACAATGAAGCACAGCAGGGACACCGTGCAACAATTTTGGAAGGAGAAGCCTTTATCCAGTAAGATTTTACTGACCATGAGGGAAATGAAATCTAGTTCCCTGAGTTAAAACAAAGCATTGACTTCCATGGAAAATTAAAAACTTAACTTTTCCTTTTAGTTTTGGCTGCTGCGAATCACAGCTGCACATGGAATAGGGCCACACGATACACAGGTAGGAAAGGACACCTGAAGGCCAGCTCATTGCACCTCCTGCTCAGAGCAGGTACATATAGGTGAGGTTGCTCATTGCCTTCCTTGTTCCTGTCAAATTTTAAATGCCTCTGAGGATGGAAATCCCACATCCTCTCTGGGTCCCTGTCCCAGTGTCTGAATACCTCCATGGTGAAATACTTTCTCTTCATATCTAACTAGAATTTCCCTTGTTGCAATTTGCATCCATTGTCTTTTGTCCTTCAACTCCAAGATGAGTCTGGGTCCATTTTTCCTACGCTCTCCCCTAGATAGCTGTAGACAGCAGTAAGACCCCACCCTTTGCCTGCTCTTCTCCAGGCTGAACAAGCCCAGGTCTCTCTGTCTCTCCTTGTACGTGACGTGCTCCAGTCTCCTGGAAGCTTGCTTACCCTATACCACCAAAGGTGGGCTCTCTCAAGTTTTTCCTCTACCAGCAAGGCCAGAACTGGACATGGCACTCCAGATGTGGTCTCACAAGTGCTGAAGAGAGTGAAAGGTCACTTCACTCAACCTGCTGGCTAACGTGCTTGCTACATAGCCCTGTACACAGCTGGCCTGTGCTGCAAGGACACCTTGTTGACTCAGGCTCAGCTGAAGATCTCAGGCCAGTCTCTGCAAAGTTATTTTTTATGCATTTGGCATCCAGCCTGTGCTGGTGCGCAGGGCTATTCCCTCCCCATGCAGGACTTTGCATTTCCCTCTGTTGAACTTAATTTGCAACTGCACACTTAGGCAATAGGTGGCACTAATAGACGATGTGGCTTGCATTGTCACCGAAAGAGCGTCACTGCCGAGGAGAAACCAGCAGAGAAGACACCTGGGCTGCCTTGCTCAGAGCAGCGGCCAAGTGAGGAGGAGCAGACATGTGGCAGGAGTTCTTTCCAAACGCCTGGTGAGATCTCGGCGCAGGGAGGAGGGACTCCGAACGGGGCTCCCCAGGGTTGGGGCGGGAGGAAGCCCCTGCGGGGTGACCAGGCCATTGGAGGGTGGGAGCATGCAGCTGAGTTCTCCTGAGCGTGAGTGCGGAGCAGGTTTTATGAGACTGAGCTTTGGTTTGTGTCGCTCAGAGAGCTGCTTCTGGGACATGCTTGTTTTGTTAGCAGTGCTGAGTTTGTGCTATTGCCATGATAACTGGTTTCATGCCTCTGACTCACTAAACTACGGGATGTAAGTGCAGGGGTATATTATTGCCTCTTGCATAAGCTGCTCAGCCTCAAGGGAGGTGGAGGCTGACACTGTTTGCTCTTAGGAGCCCTGTTCTTCCTTGTCTGGGAGCGGTTTAAGGAGATACCTCCTTAAAAATCGCACATAGGCCGTCTCAGAGATCATCACCAAATTGCCTTGGCGATTGCTGGGGTCTCCAGTACAGGCACCAGGTTCTGCATCACAGGCAGCAGTGGGAAACAATAGTAGGTAAAAAGAAACATGCAATGAACTTGTTTCTTTATGGAGTTTCGTGTCCTTTTTTTGTTTTTCTTTTTTCCTCAAGGTGGCTCCCTAATATAGGTGCCTTCCACAAGGAAGAGTGAAAAGACTTTCTCTTGTTGCTTCTAATTTTGCTAGATTTTAGACTGTGCTTTTCTTGCAAGAGAATCTACCAGGCTGAAAGAGAGCCAAGGAGGATGTATTCTTTTTTTCACAGGCAGATGAGTCCTAAAAGCTTGGTATCCAGTCAGGAGTAGTTAGAAGTAGCAAAGGTATAGCAGCTCATTGAACTCTGAACAGGGAAAGGTCCCACAAGCCTCTCCTCCTGCCAGCCCTGCGGCACGTGGCTGGCAGCAGAGTAACCCTTGAGCTTGAAAGTCCCCTGCCAAGGCTGCGCACCTATCGCTACACAGCAGTCAAAATAAACTATTTTCTTGGCTGAAGTAACACAGCAGCTCGTAGGATGAAGCACCGCAAGGACACCTATCCAGTTGTTTAGTGCCTTTTATCTAAATTGTGCTGAAGGAGGGAATATTATGGCAACAAACTATCTAGCTAAAACACAGCCCAGAAACACTGCCTCTTTGTGCAGAGGCAGTGCACCATCTTCTTACGCCATCCAAAAAGTAGGAAAAATAATGGCTGATGTTGCCAGGTGGCTAAACAGCTTGTAATCCCTTGGCTGGGCAGTAAATGGTGCTGGTAGGTGACATTCTTTGCACCATTCTCCAAGGATTGGTACCTTTCAGATAATGCTGTAAGACTATAAGAATCTTTTTTTTTTCCCCCTTTTGTAGGGAGACCATCTTGTCCCGGATCAGGTAAGTGAAATAGCTGCTCTGTGTTGAGGCCTCCACTTTTTATTAGCACACTGGTTGGGCCATAGTATAGTCTTTTCCCTACCCTGTATGACAACAACCTTGCTCTCTGGAACAGAAACAGGGGTACCAGACAGAAAGGTGAAACCCTTACCCATAGAAAGCTATGGTGGAGGACCTGTGTTGCCCTAAAAGACGACTGAATCTATAGGGGAGCTATGTATAAAGCACTGCCAAGAGGGGCACATCCAGCACATCCAGCTCTCTCCAGCAGCTGAAGACCCTTGTCTCCACTCCTGCTCCTCAACCCATTCTGTCTGTGCAGTTTTTATTCCTGTAGGAGTCCAGCCACTACTATCCCGTTCCCTCCAGCACCTGCCTTAAAATAGACTGGCCCATATCCTATTGACTCTTGTCCCCCAGGGCACCCTGGTTCACAAGGAGAGGGACAAGGAAGCCTTGTGATCAGCAGGTCCTGATCAGCAAGTACTTGAGGTCCCTAAGAAGCACGGGTAGATGTAACCCTGCCCCAAATCTTGCCTGTGATCTTCAAAAATAACAAACCCCCCCAGCCCCTGCTGACTCTATGGGATTGTTAGGCATTTGTTACTGTTCAGGCCCAACCAACATGAATACAAGCCTCTGCATAGTCCCTTTATCCTTGCCACTTCTGTTGTTGAACACAAGCAATTTTATTCCTCCCCAGGTCTTTTGAATATTCTCAGAAGAATGCAGTCCTGGTCCCTGCAGCCACCCTGGGGGTTGGAGGGATGCTGGTTTTCTGGCTGAGGTCTAGGCACAAGATCAAGACTCTTGAAATGGGTGATGGATGGTGGGGCTCAGGTGAAAGACCCCTAAAAGGCAAAGAAGATGAAAGTATCCGTCCCTTCAAAATTGAAACATCTGACAAAGAAATCGAGGTACCGCTGGCTTGGATGTAGGGAGGGGCGGAAAGCTGCAAGGTGGAGCCAGTCCATCACCCACCTTACTCCTTTGAGGTGACGTCTTGGGGCTGGCAGCAGGGCACTTATATACACCAGTGCAGCTACCTCGTACCATTACATGATGCTGTAGGTCTGTGGATGGTGGAGTGGGGTGGGAGGGCATCGGGACAGCAGTGACACTGGTGGGGCAGGAGCGAGAGGCTTCCACAGGGGGAAGGGCTGGAAGGGTGAAGAGGGGCAGGGTCTTGACTGAGACACAGCACCTCTGTCCCTACATGCCTGTCCCTAATTATCTGGCCAACTAGTTGTCAGCAGCTCAGGCTGAGTTCCTAGTGCCAAAAACCCTAAAGTTAGCAGCAAGGCAAGAGTAGGACCTGGTACTCCTGGGTGCCCTAGTAGAAAAATATATTCCCCATATAAATGATTCAGGGGGTCATGCAGATTATGCCACTGCTTCAGGCAGGTTTGTGGTGTCCCAGTCAGCAGTACAAAAGCCGGCAGAGCCAGGAGAGCCTGTCCGTGCCCACCCTTGTGTAAGGCATGCACGGGCAGCTGGCCAGCCTCACAAGAAGGGCTCCCCTCTGCAGGACCTGCACCACCGCCTGGAGCAGGCCCGCTACACACCGCCACGGGAAGGGGCCGCCTTCCACTATGGCTTCAACTCCAGCTACTTGCGGAAGGTGGTGGCCTACTGGAGGAACCAGTTTGACTGGCGTAAGCAAGTGGAAGTCCTGAACAAATATCCCCATTTCCAAACCACTATTGAAGGTAAGGAGGTCTCTGTGGCTTGAGCAGGTCTCTCTGAAACATACAGAGAGAAGGGGAAGATTTAAGACGTTACAATATTTAAGACAACAGTATGCATGACAACTTAGTGATATGAGTGAAACATCACTACTGGCAGCTATATTATTTATAGCCTTCTATAGATTAAGACCATTACAGAGTGGCAATAAGATTAGGTTTGTTTCAAGATGGGCTTCATCTGGCTCTGAACCAGTGCTAACTAACGATGAGGTTTTCTTCTGCTATTGCCTTGAAGCCACCTTTGAAAATTGCAAAATTTACCCAGACTCTGAACCTAGAATTCCCACCACCACCACCACTCAGTTTAGCCAGGTGAAGTTAGCCAGACTTTGGGTAAGTGATCTGCAGGTTAAACTTCTATCTTGCACTTAACTTTTCCATGTTTCTCTTTTTATCACCCACATATTTTGTAATTTTGTCATGGTTTTGCATGTCTTGCCTGCATTATGCTATTCATTTAAGTATTGTCCTACATGTATACTGTGAGACCAGTTTCTCAGGAGATGGATGCTCAGTCTCCTGTGACCCCAATATCTGGGGCTCGGATCAATACCTCTGTCTGTATGAAAAAGATGAGACAGAGGTACTATACCAGGCATCCCCTTTCAGCTAGGCATCTTCTTGCCATGGGTTGATTGCGTAAGTGCTGCTATGAATGCTAATTACAATTTTGCCACCCTCGTTCTTCAGAGTAGAGAGCAGAGACTGTGATGGAATCAGAGCTTTAAATTTATCTGTCTTGGATGTGTGGCAGGGATTGATATCCATTTTATCCACGTGAAGCCATCCTATGTCCCTCACGGTCGGGCTGTTCAACCTCTGCTGATGGTCCACGGCTGGCCCGGCTCCTTTTATGAGTTCTACAAGATCATCCCTCTGCTCACGGAGCCAGCCAGGCATGGCCTGAACGAGGGTGACGTGGTGTTTGAGGTCATCTGCCCATCCATCCCAGGCTACGGTTTCTCGGAGGCACCACACCAGAAAGGTAAGCAATGAAAAGACTCTGCAGGAATCACATGGTTTTTGGAGTAACACCTCCGACATCCCTGGGCTCCCTGGGCACTGCAGTTTGTAAATGCAGATGCTTGGCTCTGCACTTACACTCATGTGGCTGAGGTTCTGGGGCTAGCTGTGGGGATTTGGAAGGCAATGGTAGCTGGGAGCCAGGTCTGCTTTCCACTTTCTCCACTTTCCACTGAATTTCTGTCCTCTTGTGTTTGCTTTAGCACCAAGAAGTGAAGCACAGCAGCATAGCACACTGCACCTTCACACAACAGCACACTCATGTGCCTCTGTCAGGCCACAGTCTTTGGGCCAGTGTATGAACGCTAGGAAAAACAGGTCTTCTGTACAGAGTTTCTCTTTACCTGCAGGTTTTGACACCATAGCAACTGCTCGGATATTTCATAAGCTGATGAACAGATTGGGCTTCAAGCAATACTACGTACAGGGAGGAGACTGGGGATCTCGTATTACCACAAACATGGCCCAAATGCTGCCACAGTGAGTAGCAAAGGGAATCAGTGCAGAAAAGCTGCCTCCCATTCTTGCCCTGTCTTCTGGTTCCACAGTCCTGGTCCTGCCTTTTGTTTGCCCTGCCTCTCATCCCCTTCTGCTTTGTTTCCTCCAGGGACAACCGCACCCCTGTGCATTCAGTTGTATTCATACGCTTTGCACTGATAGTGGCCAAGTTCTCATGCTTCCTAAATTTCCGTGCTGTTTGGCTTCTCATTCACTGGCTGTGGAAGTACACACTGCTACATTTTGATTCAAGACAGATCATGATTCTAAATCAGGAAGGAGAGAAACTTAAAAAAAAGAAGGGAGAGAAGGAAGGAAGGAGCTCAATCTTTCAGCAGCTGAGCAGTACCATGAAGTACAGGAGTTTCCAATCTAAAATGCAGAGTTGACACTGATTGGAAAAGAAACACAATACCTTCCTTAGAGGATGGCATCACAGCTCATTTTTTAGCATTTAATGAAAAGTGGGCATCACAGCCATGCTTAGGTCAGAGAAGAGGTAAAGGGGGAAAGCTCTTAAAGCAGTCAGATTGCAGGCTGAGCAGCTCACTGTTCCCAATTGCAGTTGTGCTTCACAGCACCCAGGGCAGTGTGGCCACATGTGATCTACTCAAGCTTTTCAGAAAATACCCAAACCAGCTTGTTACCTACTGCGCAGAATGACACAAGTCCAGCGGCCAGAGCTACCAGCATGGATATGCCACATCCAGAAACTGAGTGCCTAAAGCTAACATCATACCAGTGGCACAGCTGGACAGAGATGACACCAGCTGTACTGTTTCTAACTCCCATATTATTTTATTTTTTTTTTAAACCATGATGAACCCGAAGGGTTCATGTGTTTTGCTCAGTGAAATACTTCTATTCCAGCTCCAGTCAGACTCATTTTCTAGAAAATCTGGAGACAGAAGATCACTTGATTTAACCATCTATTCATTAACTTAATTTTAGATCCGTGAAGGGGCTTCATCTGAATCTCATCTTCATCAACAGACAAGGTTTGAGAAGGATGATTTCTGTGATGCTTGGGGCTTATGTACCATGGCTCGTAGGCCTCACTAGGGAAGATGTTCGACGTACGTACCCTTTCCTCCAGAAGAATATATATGACCTTCTGCGAGAGTCTGGTTACTTACACATCCAAGCCACTAAACCAGACACTGCAGGTAATGAACCTTCTCTGTGTCACTATGAACATTGTATACTAACTGCTTACGGTATGTAAAAACTTATGGTTGAACGGTGGTTCAACCATGGCCAACGGTGTTTGAGAAGCAATGAGTTCTGGTGACTGAATGCAAGACATGGGGACAAGAACTGTGTAAAAGTAAGTTCAAAGAAACAGCTTAAAAAAAGATGGAGACTACAAACGCCACTTTTGAAAGTCTTTTAAATGGCATGCCACTTCTCTCGGGGAAAGAACCCCTTTACAAAAAGCCTCTTAAAGTGAAGCACAGGGTCCCAAAATTGAAGATTCTAGAAATAAATGTGGGTGAAAACAAGAAAAATATCATAAACAAGTGCAATGTGAAACTTGCAGAAAGGTAGACACTGCCCTAACACCTGAAAAGCCAGAAGCCTGACATAGTTAGTGAGGCCAGTAGATAAGAAGTCTGAAGAAAGATATGGCCGTCTCAGAAAAGTTAAATTAATTATTTGCATCCTTCCCCACTAGTAAGGATTATGAAAATTTTACTGAAATATACATTATTACAATATATATTACTTTACTGAAATAATTCCTAATCAGGAAAGACAGCAGACCCGTCTCAGACTGGTGTCGGATGTGAAGTCCATAGAATGAATAGCACCCCATCCTGGCAATTCACTGCAAAAGAAGAAACTCAAACTGAAACGTTAACTAATGCCTAGTCTGTTGCTCAAACTGATCACAATACCAAAGAAATAAAAGGAGACAAACAAGATACCAGGTTGGGTTGGTTTGTTTGGTTTTTAAGGACTAAACAGTGAAGGTAGCCCCAGAAAAAACAAGACCTGTAGGTCTAGCCTCTGATCAAAAAACTAGCAGAACTATTTTAAAGAGAAGAATTGATGTACAGGTGATAATATCACAGGGAAATCATGCTTCAAAAATCAGAGCTCTGGAAAAATCAGAGAGCTGCGGATCCAGTAATGGAACATATTTCATTTCCAAAAAAGTTTCGTTGAAGTTCCTCCCCCAATGTTCTTAAAGAAATTAAACTGCCTTAAGAAAAGAATTACATTCATGGATTAATAACTAGATAACATGATAATCCAAGCATAGGAATAAGTGAGGCTGTTCCAGGAGAGGGAGAGTATCACAAAAATCTGTGCTGCCACCTGTACATTTCAACGTGATCCTAATTTCTCTGCAGAAAAAAGTTAATGGTTAAGTGAAAATTTGTCAGCGATCCAGGGTTTCGTTTAATCTAAAGATAACTGAAGGGATTTACAAAAACATTTAAGTGATTGGCTGATTAAACTGGCCAATAGAAAATGATGCCAACAAAGTCCAAAGCAATTTAAGTACAGGAAGAAAATCACAATGGGCTCTAGTTTGGCTGCTGCCGTATGATAGAATCTGTGAGTCATGGATAGTGCTTTGAAACGTCAGCTAGCTCAGAGTTTAATAGAATCTTACAAACTCTTAAAGAAAGCAAATGAGACTAAGGCAAAACACTAAATCCCTGATATTCAGAATGCGTTGCACCCCTGTTCACCCTGTTTCATAAATATATTTTAGAATCAGAAGAATACAGGAAGGGAAGAAAAGGAATGCTGAAGTGACTGAGCAGCTTCTGTACAAGCACTGTTGTACATAGTCTAGGACTCTTCAACGTGGAAAAAGAGCAGGGATTTTGCAGCACACTAAAACTGTGAAATGTAGAAAAGGAACAGGGGGAAAAAATGTATTCCCTACTCAGCCTCAAGAAATACTTACATTATCACTTTAGTCCTCATTAGGCAGGTTTAAAGCAAAGCTAAAGTATTTTCACTCACCACAAGTTGTGGTACCTAAGATGTGGTGCAGCTTGAATAACTAATAAGCTGCAAACAACACTGCTATTTCTGAGCATCTAATTCACAGAAGTTGAATACAGTGGTTCAGAGGCAGCTTTCAACCCAGAAAATGCTCATCTCCAGATGGGTCATGTGCTAGCCGGCACATTTTAGCCTGCCCTACCATTGCTGGTCAAAGCATTCACATGACTTCCATCTGTAGCAAATCACTCTAGGCCTGCCAGTGCAGTGAAACTGTTGTACCAATGCACAAACTTACTATGTGTTAGCTGTGTCCACTATTAAATTGAGACCATGTTGTGCATCATCTTCTACAAAGTCATTCAGTGCTAAAGTCACAATAAAATACACTTGAGAGTAGGTAATACTGAGTATACTGTAAAACTACAGCCTAGGGTATGGTACAGGAATTTTCCCAAGGCAAGCCTCTAGCATTGCTGAAGTAACCCCTATCTCTGTTTTACAGGTAAGGATACAAGTATAATATGCTCTGTACCTGCTGTGTCTATAATGTTTGTTAGTGTTCCCTAAAGGCAGGAACAGATAACAGATACACAACACTCCACTTTTTAAATTAGGCAAAAAGCGATGAACAGCACTCAGGGTCCTGGTTATCCATCCTAAGCAGGACAGTGTTCCCAAATAGTTTATCTGAAATGTCTTTTCATAGTGTAATCCCTTTACATCTGAATTTGCTTCTTCTGCCACACATTACCAAGACACCAACAGGACTTTCTTAGCTCCTTGCATCTTTTGTATAGGAATTACCCGAATCTGTAGTGCTCTTAGTTACAGCTGAAATTCCGTTGGGGTGAATTTGTCAAGAATAAAGTACTACCAGAGCTAGTAAAATACAGACTCTCTACTGAATTCTCATAGAAAACTCTGAAGAATTCAAGAAAATCCAATTTAAGTTCCACTGAAGTATTGCAATGTCAGGCAACTGTAATAGCTCTCCCGTTCTTCTCCTGAATTAGGTTGTGGACTGAATGACTCCCCTGTGGGGCTTGCTGCATATATTCTGGAGAAATTCTCTACCTGGACAGATAAATCGTTTCTGCATAAAGATGATGGAGGCTTGGAAAGGTAAGAAAACAGATGCTCTTCCATGAGAAGACTCATTGAAAGAATGACGATAACTAAAGAGGAAATAGATAAAAGACTGGGCAGTCAAAGCTAAATTTTAAGTATGAATGATTACACGTGACTAATAGTTTAAACTTACAGCAGACTGCCTGTAAACTAGTGCTTCAGCACCAGACCATTTTGCTCTGGTCACATGGGTGCCAATTAATTTGCTGTGTGAAAACAAGGGGAAACCAAGAACAACTGTTCTTCAGGGCATAAGGCAAATATAGCTTATCGAGAAACAGCTTCCAATGAAATTTCTTCATCTTTCTCTCTCAACAGCAAATACTCTCTTGATGAGCTTTTGACCAACGTGATGATTTATTGGGTGACATCCTCCATTGTGTCCTCAATGCGATTCTACAAGGAGAACCTCTCCAAGGACCCTCGTCTAACTGCTGATGCCAGGTAATGAAGTGGGAAGTGCAAGACAGATTTGCAAATGAGATTGAACCACATTTGCCTGTATAAACATTTAGATCACTTAGAACGGCAAATTTAACTAGTTAAAAAAAAAAATCCAAGTTCTTATTTTCTTTTGATAAATATAGTTAAGGGTCAGTTTTCTTTTGAACCTATAATTCACATAAGGTGGCTCATGGCCAAGACAATGCAGACAACTTATCAAAGTATATTCAGTTTTGTTTGTGTTTAAAATACAGGTCTATATACTTATTCACCAAACAAATGTAATCTGTGGCTCAGTTCAGTGAAAACAAAACAGAAAATCATGAGCATTTCTAAGAGAAGTTTAAACTGAATTAGGCTTGCTGGTGGATAAACTAAGAACTACAAAAGTTAAGCAGAAACTCGGGGAAGCAATTTGGAGGGTAGTACTTTAAACCAAGCACCCTATAACAGCTGCTGGCTTTAAGATGACTGTAAGAGAGGCTGACCAGGAAAATGCTGCTGAGCAGAATTCTCCGAGTGATTGATCATACAAATAAATAGGAGAGTCTTTCTCTCTGTAGACTGAACCAGTTTACCTTTCCTCTCAAGAAAGTCATGTGCTGCTCTGGTACCATAAATTCTAAAGTACCCATGAGCTAGTTTCTGAATTTCACAAGAATTGTGGCAGCTTGCCACATATCACAAAATTACAAAATAAGGTAAGCTTAAAAATCTGAAACATTTGAAGATTAAATCGTGTGCAAAGTTGGCTCTACTTTATACACCTTTGGGTATAACATTCTTAAACTCAAGGAGATCCAAATACAAGGGAAGCTCTTCAACAAAGTACAGACCACAAAATAGGTTGCTGTGGTGAAAGTTCTCCAGCTGACTGTAGCAGTTACCAGAGTCAGAAGGTTTTTATATACTTTTGCAAGGACTTCTTTCAAAAATGCAGTTAACTAATGTCTTCTAGGGTTGGAGTATATGTTCCCACAGGGATTGCAGCTTTTCCTCAGGAGATAGTACATACACCACGTGCCTGGGCAAAACAGATCTTCAAGAACATCATCACTTACTCTTACATGCCACGTGGAGGGCATTTTGCCGCCTTTGAGGAACCAAAGCTTTTGGCACAAGACATCATGCAGTTTGTCAGAAAGGTGGAACAGCTGTGAACCTGCAGTTCACATACACAGAATGGAAGCAAGCTGGTCTGCCACCAGCAGAACTTCTCCTTTGAGGGATTAAATAAATTCAGTGTAATCACATAGAGAAACCAGCATTTTATTTTGATAATGATTACAGTACTAAACTTGTTAATCAATCTCTAAAGCTCTTCATAAGAAAGAAAGAAAGGAAAAAAAAAAAAAGCATCTTGTCTTCTTTCATTCCCGGCACCATATCATTGCTGCATTCATGGTTCAAGTATAACAGAAAATGTAAACAGTTTAATGCAGTAACATTGCACTCATCTGGGGAAGAGAGTAGAAAGGAACCGGCCCCTTGTTCCTCAGAACTAAGGCTTCTGTTCAAAAGGTTCTTTAAATACTTGAGTGCTAGCATTCTTAAATATGCATTGCAAGCAGCTTTGGTGGAAGTGTAAAAGGTTTTGATCTCCTGAGCACAAACACTCCTACATTCAAGTTATATTTCATTCAAGAGACCTATGATTACAAATTCAAGTTGGCAGCTGCACGTAAGGCAGCTTTCTTCATTCTATCAGGTTTTCCCCTAGAGCCAGCTTTAGCAGTTACTACGCATTGTAAACAGTTGTTAATAGATAATAAGGCAGAGACAGCACTTATAGTGTTCTCCAAGCTCAAAAATAGCAACCTTATTTCCTCCTAGTTCTACAATCTCATTCCATTCCAAAAGGTCAAAGTTAAAATATGCATCAAGCGTAGAGGGTTACTACACTCCTTTCAAAGGATTCTTACCACCCCATCGTGCAATTTTTGCTAGCAAGAAACTGCAAGCAACCTCACTACCAGCAGCCTTGAGCTTCTGCTCAAATGGGATAGAGCTATGTGGAGCTATTAAGGTCATTGCAGATAAGTACCCAGCTGACTGAAGATAACTCCAGCAGATGTCCAATTCTGACACATTGTGCTCTAAGAGTTTCTCTCCCTCCCTGTCCCATTCTGCATTAGAATTAGCACCAGGCCAGAAGAAAGGGCTCGAGTTCTGCTTCCAGGTAATACGTTCTGACTTACAACAGGAATTTAACAGGTAGATAGTGCTGAACTTTATCACCCTCCCCCCATCTCTTCTTCGGATTTCAGAAATATTTGGAGTCTAAGACTTCTAAGAGGTAAAAGTAAGCCAGAAACTAAGTTTTTTTGTTGTTGTTTTAAGTGAGAATAAACTAGCATATTGGGGCAGGAGTCCCAGCTTCCTCTAAAGAGGAAGTGAGCCAAAACTGCTCACTTTAATTTTAACTGTATATCTGATTGTCAGCGCTGTTAAGACTAAAGGTTGGTAAAGAAAATAGGAAGATGTGCTTCCCTGCCTCCACAGGGCTACTCAACCTCTTTTCATCACCAATACAAGACTATACTAGGTACAAAACCTCCCAATCGCTGAGAAGCCCCATGCTTTGGATTATTAAGTAACTGAAATTGAGTTATGGAGAAGTCTAATTTTATCAAATAGATAGGCAAACACTTGAATACTCAAGCCTGATCAGATTGCAGGGAAAGGTCTCCTTTTGCAGGAACAGGGTAGGTAACAATGGTTATGGCCCTTATATCAAAGGACAAGTGTATTAATAATCACATACATTATCTGGAGCCCTAAACAATCAGCTAACATAGCAATGGTGACATTAAAATTCAGGAGAGAGAAGACTGTATTCACTATCTGCTAGTTCAGCAAGTACGCAGCAGGAAAGTTTTACTCCCAACACACTAATTCACCTCCTGTGCCACAACCCGGGTCCCTAAAGAATCACTGTTATATGTGTGCAACTGTGCCTTAAAGGGTATTTGCTTTCAACAACAATTCAGGAGATGAAGACTGATGAAAACAGTCCAGCTATAGGAAGGCAGTAGATGCCCTGGGGAAGAGATCCAGACAGACAAGAATATGCGGTTACATTTCATAAAGTTATTATCACTTAAAGCAGCACCAAAGGTTATTCAATATTCCACTGAAGTTCTACAGAGCACAGGTCATTCATGAAAGCCTTTGAGCGTCACAGGTGCTTGAAACCACACATAGTCCTCCCAAGTAGAAGTCATACGCTGAGGAGGCGAGGCACTTATGTTGATGTCTCCACCACAGGACAAGTTAACAGTTAATTTCCTCCCTCGGGTCGGCACTTTATAGTTGAGCTTGGGCCGGAACCAATCAACACCACAATCGCGGTGTCCTTGGAGCATAACAACCGTGCCCATCACAGGAAGAGCCTTAAGTTCACTGAAGACATCCGCAACAAAGAGCGAGTGAAAGAGCTTGCGAACACAGGATGCAGTTTTCAGGCTCTCCTCAGTACTGCCCTCATAGATACCCTCCAAGTTGAGCTCATAGAGCTCCTTGGGGCTCATGACATTGCCTCCAAGTAGAATAAGAACCCGAGGAACCGGTGTCAAACTAAACATGACTTCCAAGTGCTGGAGCACTCCCTCCATCTCCATCAGCACCTGCTGGCACTTCTTGCTTGCCAGGTCCATGGAGTGTGGCTTCTTAATCACATCTCCATCCTGGAAACAAAACAAAGAAAAAAAAAAGATATCAGTACATTGCATTATTAGGACATATTAGTCCTAATACACTCTTCAGAAAGCATGACCTATCCCATCCCTGAAAGTCAAGGAAGGTTTGGAGGGCTTTATGCTCTTTTTAAGAGATACAGGCGCCCACACATAGAATCAGGAGATCCAAAAGGAACACAAAAGGCTGCTCTATAGCTGCTTAGTTTGAATCTGAATCACATTACTGATAAATTTGCACAAGAATTAGAAACCCCATGTTTTAAAGCTATCACTTCAAAAGCACATAAGATTAAAGAAACTTTTCTTGAGAGTCGTTTGAGCAACAAACAAAATAGTAACATGCTTTGAGCAGAAAGTGGGACAAGAGATAAAAAGTAACTTGCTGAGACCGTTAACCACCTAACCTAAACCTTTTATTTATTTATTGAAATTGCGGTAACATTTAAGGCTACAGCCACAACAAGCACGTTACTTCAGAAGCAGCTGATGTACTATAACACAAGTTACCGAGCTAGAATACGAGCTGACAGGCAAAACTCAAACGCTGGGCCATGGGGTCCCTCCCGGCCGCCCCCCGCGGCGCTACGGCCCCCCGCTCACCTGCGCCGCCCGCCGGCAGAAGTAGGCGAGCTGCTCGTAGGGCAGCGGGAGCTGGTGCCGCTGGGACCGGACGTGCTTGAGGAGC